ATGGTGGATTTTTCTTTTTTGCACGCATGTAATGATGGTAGGAACTCAGAGGGTTTATCCACCCAGAGCATTTGCTATAGTAAAAGTCCCTGATTGTCACTGATCATTTAGGAATGATTCCTGCCCTTAAGCCAACATAATGGTTGTCTTGTTGACAAGAGTGACAAAGTTTTCTGGACGTTTCTGTCACTACTGAAGACACTTTTGTTTGTTTGTTGTGGTTTGGGGGTTTCTTTCAGGGACTGGAATTCAGCACTACGGCACTTCCTGTGCAAGTTATTTCTGTGTTAGAAGAGCCTTTAAACTGGAAGCTTTTAATTAGCAGACCAATTTTAATTTTTAACCCACATTCACTAGGGTCGGGAAAACACCCCCTTCTATTAAGTGAATTAGAATGTGGTATTCCACTGAGAATTCCAGTATATCAGTTCAGCAGTGTGGTTAGTGTTGGGCTTCAGATTAACGGCAGGCTTAGTGCAGGGGAGGCTTTTCTTTTGGGTCCAACCACCTTCACAGGTGCATCTGGTGGGACATGGGAGAGGGCTCTCTCTGTCGCTGGTCCCAGACTCTGGAACTCCCTCCCACAGGAGGCCAGATTGGCCCCAACTTTGCTGTCCTTTTGCAAGCAGGCAAAGATCTTCGTGTTCACGCAGGCGTTCCCTTAGCTACTGGCTGTCTGAGAAGAATCTTTAAATATGCAAAGACCCAGATTCAGTTTCCAGAATCTATTAAATGATGGGAAATGTCAGAGGCTGGAAATGTTCTTTTTTGGACTGCAACTCCCAGCATCTCCCAGCAGTTGCAGTTCAAAAAAGTTTCAGCATAAGGCCTCTGTCCAAGAACACCAAAAGTGACTGACAAGTCTGAGCAAACAATATTGGGCTATGTTAGTGGTTCCCATCCTTGGGTGCCCAGATATTCTTGAACTACAATTCCCAGAAATTCTGGTCGCCATAGCTAATGGTGAAGGCTTCAGGGGTTTTTAGTCCAAAAACATCTGGGGACCCCAGGTTGGGAACCACTGGGCTAGGTGAATAACAGTATGAGCTGCTGCAAGGCCAGTTTCTGTGTTCTGAAGAAAGCCCTGTACCTTTTCTGAATGGGTAATTTCATACTCACTTGTTTGGTCATTCATACAGGCATTTGAGACAACAGCTTTTGCAGCCAGCCAGATGAGATAAAAGCCACATACTTCTCTCCAGTTGAACTTGGCTGGACCCATCTGGAGCACTGAGTTCCTCTAAGTCCTGGAAAACCTGGTCCATGAAAAATACAGTACAAAACCGAGCATTAAAGATTATGGGCTATTGGGGTGTCATATTCGTTGCTGGAGGTTCTTGCTCTTAATCTTTTAACCATAGATCAAAATGTAAACAGGCAATTGACACCTTCTACTTCCATCTGGTGACTTCAAAAACTGAGGAACCACTTCTGTACTTATCTTCTACTCACTTCTTTTCCTAGAGATGAATGCAGATCTGGATGTCAGGAAGGCTGCTTTAGGTCTTGCAAGAATGATCGAAGTAGATTAAAAGAAACTGCTGCACTGGTTGGCCATAGGTGCTAAAGGCTCATTCATCTGGATAAACTGGGAATTGAGAAATGGAACGTTGAGCCTAGCATACCCCTGCAGAGACCGTGCCTTGCTTCCTGTTGGCAGTGAGGTGACCTCTATGTGCCATTTCACGTATCTATGCTGGGGAATGCTTGGAATATGCACTATCTATCTGCTTAGGTATAAATCAGATAGAGTAAATTAGATTTGGTTGTTGTAGGTTTTTCAAGCTGTTTGGCCATTTTTAAGTTTTTTTTTTCCTAACGTTTCACCAGTCTCTGTGGCCAGCATCTTCAGAGGACAGGAGTCAGAACTCTGTCTGTGCTCTGGTGCAGTTTGCAGGATAACTGAGTATTTATAGCTGTGGGATCAGCTTTTTGTCCATTTCAGGAGATTGGGTGATTATGGTGATCAGCGTGTTTTTGTTATCACAACAATATACCCATAACAAAAAACACCCTGATCACCATAATCACCCAATCTCCTGAAATGGACAAAAAGCTGATCCCACAGCTAAAAATACTCAACTATCCCACACACTACACCAGAACCCAGAGTTCTAGCTCCTGTCCTCTGAAGATGCTGGCCACAGGTGGAAACGTTAGGTAGAAAAACCTAACATGGTCAAACAGCGTGAAAAACCTACAACAACGGTGGAATGAAAATGGTTGGGTAGAAGAAAGCATTTCAACAGCATGCCTAAATCTCAGGAAAGAGATGGATTTATAAGCATCCCTTTTCATTCTGTGCAAAATTTATGCCTTGTTGAGAAACACTAACCAGAAAGGGCAGAGGAGACATAAATCGGTCCTATGGATTTGCCTGTACAATGAATCAACAATCAGCACCTCCAAGAGGTTCTGGCTTCCCAGAAATTCCATGTTCGGTGATGAACAGGAATAAGGAAGCCAAATACTGTTGACTGTGATAACCTTTCTCTCTGGTCTCCCCTTCTACTTCACGTGGCATGCTTTTAAATGTGACAGTCTAACTTTGGGAAGGGAAAACTATCCAAGGGAAGTAGAATGTGTCCTGTCTAAAGTGCATTTTTTTAAGGGTTCTTCCAGATGGAGCATGAGTTCTACTTTAGGTGCCAGATTAGACAATCTTTTCCTGACATCCAGATAATGCGCTTGTCAATCTGTCTCAAATCCTTCACTCTTTATCAGTTAGGTTCTGACCTTGCTTCTGTCGACTCTGCATAGAGACAAAAACCAACTCTAAATAGCAAGCTCATTGCTGCATATTAAATAACTAGCTTCACAATAATAACTAGCGTTGCTTTTCCTTCTGTAGTGCTGATTTTAAAAATTCTACAGTTTTCCATCTTCATATAAAAAAAAGCACAACTCTCATCTTAGGATTTTAAGAAGATGTTCCATTAAAAAAGAAAACTTGTGATATTCTTTTTGAGTAAAACATGCTGTAAATCTTCAAATTTTATACAGGAGGGATTAAAAAGCTATGATAATTTTAAAAAGCAAAACAGCACATTCTACTTGTTACGACATTCTGATGACAAGGAGCTCAGCTTTACTGTGTGAGTAAAGAAAGAAAGTTACATATGCTAAAGACCGAGTCCACCATTCAGGCAAAGTGAAGTGATTTGAGAGTTTGCTTGTTTAAACAGAAGCAGGTTTCTGCTGAAATCTTTCCCACTGGCATCAGTGAAAATATATTGCCATCTGTTCCTGCGAAAATAATGTGGCCAGACCACAAAGGTAATGATATAGAAATGAATCAGAGAAAATACCCAACAAAGACAGAAGAAAAATACAAATAAAGGGGACAAAAATATTGCAGCACATTTAAAGACTAACTGCTGTATTTTCATGTGAGCTTTCATGGACAAGTCCACTTCCTCAGAGAATATCATGTTTCCTCTTTCAGACAAGAGAGGAATAATATTGCTCAAATCTCTGTCATTTCTGAATCTGGAAACGAGAGGACGGCCCCATAAATCTTTCTATGAGCCTCCCCCAGGTCCTGTCTGCCTCCTCACCTGTCTTGAATTCGATACACAGCTGAGTTGGGTCTCTCTCCAATTAAAGCTGCTCATCCAGCTGAGTTCTTTCTGTAGCGAAACTACTTCCCAAATGGCGAGGCGAGAGGAATAGATGGGCGCTCGGTTGCGTGCGTGCTTAAAAGCACTCCATGATCACATCACAGGAAAAGCAATAACCGCACTTCATACAGCTGAAGATGTGTGAGAACCCACAAATGGCACAGAGAAATCCACATCAACCACAGTGATCTCATGCGTTGTTTCCCAATCTGCAGTTCTTTTCACTGCTATTTGTTTCTTCTAAAACATGTGGAGATGATGAGTCTCCCATGCTGCCACATATTTTTTACCATATTGGATGAAATCCTGAAGGTGACAATAGAATGACATCCCTGCTCCCTCCTCACTTCACTTTCTCCCTTCTCTAAATTGTACTGCAGAAATAAAGCACAGCTGGCAGGAAAGCTAAAAACAGATTGCGAAAATCCACATCAACCACAGTGATCTCATGCGTTGTTTCCCAATCTGCAGTTCTTTTCACTGCTATTTGTTTCTTCTAAAACATGTGGAGATGATGAGTCTCCCATGCTGCCACATATTTTTTACCATATTGGATGAAATCCTGAAGGTGACAATAGAATGACATCCCTGCTCCCTCCTCACTTCACTCTCTCCCTTCTCTAAATTGTACTGCAGAAATGAAGCACAGTTGGAAGGAAAGCTAAAAACAGATTGTGATTGTTTATATGGAAGAATATTGCTGCCTTGAGTTGGCTAGAGGGGTTCTTGTCATGCTGCGTGGAGGATTCTGGAATTGTCACCCAAAATAGTAACTTGTCCCATCTCTGTGTCTGGTGTTTTGGTGTACGGCAGATTTCAATGTCTTCCCTATATTAGCCAACTAGTTTTGGCTTTCACCAAACTTGCTTTTCTGTATGTCAGCAGCATATTTTAGGGCAGGGGGAAGGAGAATCATGCTATGGCTGTTAAACATGGAATTAGGAAATGTTTGGAGACTTACTACAAAATTTACGATTAGATCTGGAGATGACTTCTGCCCATTCTTAAATGCAAGTAGATAAATAGGGACCACCTCGGTGGGAAGGTAACAGCGTTCCGTGTCTAAGTCGCACTGGCCATGTGACCACGGAAGATTGTCTTTAGACAAAACGCTGGCTCTATGGCTTGGAAATGGGGATGAGCACCGCCCCCTAGAGTCGAACACGACTGGACAAAAATTGTCAAGGGGAACCTTTAACTTTACCTAAACTTGCTTTATGTCAGCAGCATACTTTAGGGCAGGGGGAAGGAGAATCATACTATGGCTGTTAAACATGGAATTAGGAAATGTTTGGAGACTTACTACAAAATTTACGATTAGATCTGGAGATGACTTCTGCCCATTCTTGTTGTAATCTATGACTATTGCTTTTTCTCTAGGTTTCTTGGAAGACACTGTTCAGATCTTCCCATCACCATAAATTCTTGCCGGAAAAGAAGGGAAGCAGCTTCCATTGATCAGTCATAAATATTTGTGAAATAGGGGGAAAAGTCACATCTCAATTACATTTTGTGTTTTGATGTCCTCCATCGCTTTCCGAGGATGTGTAGTTTGTTTTTTACTATCAGATGGGATTGAAACAGATGATTCCAGCCAGATAGAAGAATACATAGCACTGTACAACTGGGCATTTTTTGTGACAATGTTTGTTTCATGTTACTTTCTTCATATTTTTCCATGGCATAATAAATCCCATCAATTGTAAGAACCCTGGGGGAAAATAATAGTTTTATTATAGAATCTAATTTTTATATATTATATATTATATATTATATATTATATATTATTATTATTATTATTATTATTATTATTATTATTATTATTATTATTATTATTATTATTATTATTATTATTATTA